CCACAGGCACCCGCCACAACGCCGAGCTATTTTCTGGCTGCAGCCGTCATTGTTGTTTGGCGGGCCCAGGCTGGACACGAACCCGCCACCTTGGGTGTACGTGGCTGGCGCCCCAGCCACTTGAGCCACAGGCGCCGAGCCAGAAAATAAACTTTTTATTCAAGTACAATAATCCGTCCTTTGGTGTCTGCAGGGTATTGGTTACAGGACCCTGCCTCCTGAGGATAACAAGATCTGAGGACCTTATCACATGCACTTAACCTACACACACCCTCACCCTCATACCTTAAATCATCTGTATTTTACCTACAATACCTAACGCAAGGTACATGCTGTGTGAATAGTTGTGATACTGTATCATTTAAGAAATAGTGACAGGAAATAAAGTTGGCAAATAAATGCTCAGGAAAGCTATACTTTTTAAAATTATTTTTGATCCCAGATTGATTTAACCCATGGGTGCAGAATCCACAGATAGGAAGGGCTGACTTTACAGTAACAAACAAAAGTGACCAAATCACATGTACACAGTTCAACGAGTGTTCCTAAACTGAACACATCTGTTTCACCAGGCCAAAAAACAGAATATGAGAGGCACCCAGAAGCCTCTGAGACACCGTCCAGCCCTGTCTTCTAGCTCCATAGATCAAGTTGCCTGGTTTTTTTTTTTTTGAGACAGAGTCCCACTATGTCACCCTCAGTTGAGTGCCGTGACGTCACAGCTCCCAGAAACTTCAAACTCTTGCCTCAGCCTCCCAAGTAGATGGGACTCTAGGCACCTGCCAAAACGCCTGGCTATTTTTTTGTTTGTTTTGGCTGGGGCTGGGTTTGAACCTGCCACTTCTGGCATATGGGTCCTTTGAGCCATAGGTGCTGCCCAACGCCTGGCTATTTTTTATTGCAGTTGTCGTTGTTGTTTAGCTGGCCTAGGTGTGGTTCCAACCCACCAGACTCACTGTATGTGGCTAGCACTGTAACCACTGGGCTATAGGTGCCGAGCCAGATTTGCCTATTTTTATGCTGAAGAGAAGAAAATCTTGCAGCCCACTTCTGCAAGATTTGTATGTATGTATGTATGTATGTATGTATTTTTCTGTCTCCCCCTGCCGGTGAGCCACACACACTGCTGGGTGCATTCTCTGCCCTCCTGCCCTGAGTATGTATGAGAAAGGCACAGGCCTGGCAGGTTGGATTCTTACCAGCTAATGAATGATCTGCTCCTGTTTTGTCTGGAGTGGGAGTGTGGGCATGGGGCATGTTCTGGGAGTGAGACTTTCACTTGGTACCTGAAAGGTCTAGAGCAGTGGTTCTCAACCTTCCCAATGCCGTGAACCTTTAATACAGTTCCTCATGTTTCGGTGACCCCCAACCACAAAATTATTTTCTTTGCTACTTCATAACTGTAATTTTGCTACTGTTGTGAATCATAATGTAAATCTGACATGCAGGATGTATTTAGGCATAGGGTCTGTGAAAGGGTCGTTGGACCCCCAAAGAGGTTGCAACTCACAGAGGCAAAGGCCGAAAGGTTCTGTTTGGTCATATCATTTACATTTGTGGTCATTCCTGTGGTCATGAGCAGCCAGGGCTACTTGTCTTCCTGTAGGGTCTCCAGCCCTGAGGTCCTGCACAGCAAGAGTAAGGCTATTGGCTCAGATCCAACCCTGGGGACAATAGGGAGCTGAGAACCACTGCCCTGGACAGTTTCCCAAGCAATTTGGAAGTCAAAGGGGTCAGGTCTACTGGCGCTCAAGCCCAGCCTCTGCAGCTTGAACACCTCCTCTGATGCCAGTGGCCTCTCAGGTCTGCCTGAGAGTCCAGCTCCTTGGAGACATCACAGCCTTTCAGCTGCTCCCCAGCGCCGCTCCCTGAGTCAGCTCTGCTCCTTCAACTTCTAGGTGGGGCTCAAGCCTCCCTCCACAGACCACTTCAGCTCGGCCTGGTTCCTGCTTCACCCTGACTCTGTCTGCTGACCCCCACCCTGGTCATTTTGGATATTCAAAAATGTTCCTTGGCCTGTTGTAGGCACCAGGCTGTTTCCATCTCCCTGGAGCCTACCCTGTAGTGGCTTTCCTTCCTTCATCTCCAGAGGATGGTGGCAGCCAGACAGCATAGCCAGCCAGGCCACTTCTTTCCTTGGCTGGCTCTGAATTACTGCACTGAGTTGCCAAGAGCCAGAGACACAGGCTCAAGCGGGGCAATCTTCCCCTCCCCCAGAGCGCTCCGCTCCCATTTCTGACATTTAGACAGGAGTCGAGGTAAAGGGAATAAATCTGTTTTATTTTCATTATTTCTGGGTGGCAACGGGAGAGCAAGGGGTGTGCTCCGAGGGGGTCGGGGGCAGCCATCCGCTTCAAGGCTGGGAGAAGGCAGCGGCAGCGTCGGGGTTGCAGTCGAGGTCGTACTTACAGCCCTCTGGAAGGAGAGGAGCGTCAGGGGCCGCTCCTGGCCCGCCCCACCCCGACCCTCGGCCCGGCCTCGCCCGCTCACCCGGGCTGCAGCAGATGCCAGCGGCGGCGCAGCGGCCCCCGCTCCCGCAGGGCTTCCGGCCGGACTGGCAGGGCGACGGCAGGTAGTTCTCCTCCTGGCAGCGCAGCGCCTCGGCGGTGCCCACGAAGCAGCCCAGCTCATCAGCGCAGCAGATGCTGGGCCCGAAGCAGCGCCCCTTGCCCCCGGGGCCGCAGGGGAGGCACTGCCGGGACGGGGTAGGGGGTGAGCTCGAGGAGGGGAAACCCCGGGGTAGAGGGGATCCCGTGAGGCCCAGCGGGGTGTGCGGGGCAGGGATGCTGGGGTCCCGGGCGAACACAGGCGGCTGCTGGCTTGCCTTCTGGGCCTCGACCATGATCAAGGATGTAGAGTCAGAGTCTCAAGTCCTGGGGCTTCCAGGCAAGGCCGGGCCGCCCAGGGAAGGGAGTGGGGCGGCACGTCCGTGTGGCTGCGGGTCCCTCCCGCCCCGAGCTCAGTAAGACGAAGGTTGGGGCGCTCACCTTGCGCACTTCGAGGTCCAGCGCGGCCCTCTTGCCCCCTAGGGGGCAGTTCTGGATGTAGCAGGCGGAGGTCAGCGCCAAGAGGCCGAGCAGACAGCAGGCGAGGCTGGGGCCAGCCATGGTGCGGGCAGGCTGGGTCTGGCTCGGTGGCTGGTGGCGGTCTCTGAGGCCTGGCGTTTTTATGCCTGGGAACCATGCTGGCTGATTCCTGTCTAAAAGGTTTGTCTCATGACTGGTCACATTAGGTCGCTGTAGGTCGGGCCATGTGCCCACGGCTATGCCCCCTCATTTGCAGCGCTTGGGCTGGGGTCAAGGTCACCCCGTGGGCTAATGATCTGAGCACAGATGGTGAGCGCTATGCAGAATGGAACAGCCTGCTGTGGTCCACAGATCAGGACAGGGAGAGTTCAGGGGCTGGTGCTACCTAACTAAGGACTTAATCCAATTCTGGTCACCTAGAGGAAGGGAAGAGTAAAAGTGATCACTGGGGCCCCTCTGACTGGACTCTGCCCACCTACCTGGGCCACTACACGACGTATCTGTCCTTGTCCCCTCTGTTAGAAAGTTTTCTTTTTCCTGAGTCCACATTTCCAGAAAACCTCTCCACCTCCAACACACAGTGACACTCACTTCCCCGCACCTGAAACTTGGGTGGGAGATGATCACACCTTTCTATATAAAACTTATAACTGAATCATCTTTTCCTTCAGCTATGAGCAGGCAGCAAAGGACAATGGAATTACCAATACCTGTGCCTTTGTCACAAATGGAAGTAACAGCTGAGCTCCTGTCCTGAAGCTATTGCAAATGTCTCTAAATATTGTTCATACCCAGTATCACATTGAAACTGCTGCAATTCCTGAGTGGCCACTAGATTTTGCTATTGATTTGTTGAAGAAAGAAACACATGGCTC